TCACATTTCGAATGCCGGATACACTACGTGTTCACATTTCACTTACTGAGCACACTTCGTGTTCATATTTCACTTACCGGGTACACTTCGTGTTCATATTTCACTTACTGAGCACACTTCGTGTTCATATTTCACTAACCGGATACACTACGTGTTCACATTTCACTTACTGAGCACACTTCGTGTTCATATTTCACTTACCGGGTACACTTCGTGTTCATATTTCACTTACCGGGTACACTAAATATTCATATTTTATTGCAGTAGGAAGCATTTTTTTAGTTGTCAGGCCATTATCACAGCTAAACAATGTGAGATCATGACAGTCAGAGTGACTTAATATACTAGCTGTTATTATACTAGGTGTTGTTCATTGATAACATTTCCGATTAATTAGGCTTACTGTGACTATGTAGTGTACCCGATAAGTGAAATGCAATGCCATTGGAAACGGTAAGGCCAGTTAGGTCATGGCCTGACATCTTTTTTATGGCATGTATAGCTACAACTTATATAATAAAACTTTCTTCTTTTAATTCAATACATTACGTTGTGTGTATGCAGTATTTATAGTTAAAATGGCTGAAGATTCAATCTCATAGCATTAAATTTTCAAAAATATTCCGGGGGCATGCCCCCAGACCAACCTAGAATTGCAAGCTTTGCACACACATCTTGTCATTTTACAGAGTTTACCTTGTATGAAATATGGCAGAGAAGATCGTCCATTTCACTACTGACCCACACGTCATACAGTCCATCCTCAAACAGATGTCCTTGTACGTATGATATATCATCTGGTATACCATACAACAACACAGTGAAAATAACTGTCGATCACTCTGAAAAGCCCAAAGCTGCATTACTCACTCACTTGCTTTTACACTCCCCCCTCTACTCATATTTGTTTACTGTAGTACCTAAGCTTCTGTTTAACATACCAGTGATTAACTGTAATTACAGTTGTGTTTTTTTATGTTTGTTTTAGTAATCTGCTTAACATAGAATGTGTACGTTCCGAAACGTCCAATAAACATGTTGTTATAAGTAACAGCTGAATGCGGATTGAGAACTTGAAAACGTGACACATTTTAATGCTAAAGGCCTTGCGCAACTTGGTTTGCTCAAGAGTGCAACAGAATTGGAATATAGAGAAGGAAAGTAGTTTGGATCATTCCAGCCAATTTCGTTGTCACCCAGAGGGGGTCATCAGACGCACGACATTTGGATACAATTTTTGGTGGGATATTTCTTCTCTGTTTCGATGTATATTCTTTGTTCACCATTACATGATGTTAATGTGCGCCTTCTTCCTTTAAGTTCACTCCTTTACATGGAATATACGACACAACTATATTCTTTCTACTTAGTGAAAGATATCCTGCTAACATTACTTCAGTCTGAATCTTATAAGCCATTCAGTTAGCAACGTACCGAAACATTATTAGTTCAAAAACTATAAAAAATGTCTTTCAGTTTCAAAGTATAATGTAATATATGTATATAACGCATAACCATGTAACTAGTTCTAGAAAGTTACGATTTCATTGGCTGATATATATATACAACGTACAAATAGATTAGCGAGGATTTGTTCTTTGGTTATCTTTTATATGTTATAAATGTATATCGCATAATGAAAGCTTTAAAACTTCGAAGAGGCAAATATTGACAAGCAATATTTTATGACAAAATGGTCAACATCAATTTTGGATATTTATTAAATGATGATAAACAGCATACTGGAGTCTAAAATTATACAACGATAAAACATTAATAAAAACAAAGACAAAAAAGATGTATTGTAGCAAACATTGTCTTTTCACTGAGCAAGATTACACAAGTAAACGTGCATAGGATTTCACACAAATAAAGAAATATACAAGTATGTGACAATAGACGAATTCATTTCTGTAAACACTCTATAAGTAGTTCTATTACAGGTGGAACTGCTTCTGGGATATACTTTTTTTTGCCGTCACTCGTATCTTAACTTCCATTATTCTCAGGCATGTTTCAAACTTAGCAATAAAAGCTGTTGGCCCCCAGTGGCACAGCGGTATGTCTCCGGAATTACAATGCTAGAAACCGGGTTTCGATACCCGTGGTGGGCAGAGCACAGATAGCCCATTGTGTAGCTTTGTACATAACTTCAAATAAAAGCTGTTGTTGTTTTGTTATTACCAAATACAAAATACCATTGCCAACAAACAACCCAGCGAAGCTCTCAGTCTTTCTCTTCTTCTCCACGTCTCCTCACAGCTTTTCCTGCAACTTGTGAGCTCATCAATGTGAACATTACCCGTTTAACAACTATAAGTCAACCCCATCACTTAAAAAGCCTCGGCAACTTATTTCTAATTATGGAGTGGGGTTAAGAGAAACAGAAGTTTCTGACCGCCCCTAGTTATATTTCATTCCCCCGAAGGGGGGATGAAATATATTACTAACCTAAATACCTACCATGCCAAAAGGTCAAAAGATGGCCAAATCAGTCCTCACGTGAAAACCCGAGCATGAAATGCAACGTGAAGAAAATAAAACGAACAAAACAGACCTACAGTGGTCAAATGCAGCTTTTCCCCACCAAATACGGCTATGTCCGACTAAACGTAGTTCTGTTTCATACAAGGTAAAACGAGCGCTCAAACAAGTAAAAAAACAAATACAATCTGATTGCCGCAAGATGACGCATTATTCTACACCTACTCTTTCTTATATGGTAACAGTCATCACGTTACGACGTAGACAACCTGTCGAGATGTAATATTCACGATAGTTTTTTGTTTTTGTTTTTGAATTTCGCGCAAAGCTACACGAGGGCTATCTGCGCTAGCCATTCCTAATTT